GGGGGGGGTCACAAGCTTTTCACAAGCGTCGTCGCAATAACTTAATATTGCCGACCAGCGGCCTCTTGTGTTATAGGAGTGATGAATAATGTATAAACATTCTTTCTGTAATATCTGTTTAACAACAATAGGCTGAAGGGCCTAAAAGGTTAACTGGTTGGTAGTATAGTCGTTTCTGTTGTTAAGACGTGAAGTAGAAATAGTCTTGCATACAAGCGAGAAAGTACTTGGAGATAGTATTAGAATAAGAGTATAAAACTCCCACAGGAAGTTATACTGACCAAATATTGTTATGACAGGTCACACAGATCATTATAACAGAGGAACGTTGAAGCAGGACTTAAGTTATGAAAAAAGACTTACACAAACACACTAAACCGCTCAAATAAACTATTCTAGTAACGAGAGATGACTATCTGTTATCATTTTAGCGAATGGTTTAAAATATAACCGCTTCTATTTATCTTTCGTTGTATAGCATGTGACATGTTCCTGTGGTCACAGGAGTCTGAAATTCCGTCAAAAATCATATTAACAGTAATATAAAACCTTACGGGTACTTTTTTTGTATGACTGTTCCTATTATTTTTTGAAACAATGTCATACTCCTGTGCTGTGATATACATTTAGTACGTGGGCCTCCTAAAGAGTGAAGACCAAGGAAGACCAAGCTATTCTACAAAATCATTTAGATGCTCTCCACAAATGGTTCAGTATATGACTACTTCAGTTCCACACACACAAGTGAAAACTTCTCTCAATAAAAGGAAAAGAACAAAGAAGCTACTTTATGGCTGGACCAGGAAATGAGCGCGTGATTTTAGAAAGTGTATCGTCTGAAAAAGACTTGGGAACAACCGTGGACCGAAATCTGAACTGTGTATGTCATGTACAACAACAGGTACACAAGGCTAATGTCATATACAACAACAGGTACACAAGGCTAATGTCATATACAACAACAGGTACACAAGGCTAATATCATTTACAACAACAGGTGCACAAGGCTAATGTCATATACAACAACAGGTACACAAGGCTAATGTCATATACAACAACAGGTACACAAGGCTAATGTCATATACAACAACAGGTACACAAGGCTAATGTCATATACAACAACAGGTACACAAGGCTAATGTCATATACAACAACAGGTACACAAGGCTAATGTCATATACAACAACAGGTACACAAGGCTAATGTCATATACAACAACAGGTACACAAGGCTAATGTCATATACAACAACAGGTACACAAGGCTAATGTCATATACAACAACAGGTACACAAGGCTAATGTCATATACAACAACAGGTACACAAGGCTAATGTCATATACAACAACAGGTACACAAGGCTAATGTCATATACAACAACAGGTACACAAGGCTAATGTCATATACAACAACAGGTACACAAGGCTAATGTCATATACAACAACAGGTACACAAGGCTAATGTCATATACAACAACAGGTACACAAGGCTAATGTCATATACAACAACAGGTACACAAGGCTAATGTCATATACAACAACAGGTACACAAGGCTAATGTCATATAAAACAACAGGTCCACAAGGCTAATGTCATATACAACAACAGGTACACAAGGCTAATGTCATATACAACAACAGGTGCACAAGGCTAATGTCATATACAACAACAGGTACAAAAGGCTAATGTCATATACAACAACAGGTACACAAGGATAATGTCATATACAACAACAGGTACACAAGGCTAATGTCATATATAAGCTAATGTCATATATAACAACAGTTACACAAGGCTAATGGAATCGTTTGACTCATAAGGAAATGTTTTATTTAATTAAATGAAAGTACGTTCTGTCAACTATTTAAAGCGCTAGTTAGACCACACCTTGAATACGCGGCGTGTGTTTGGAATCTACACAAAATAAAGGAAATAGAGCTTCAAGAATTGGTACAAAGAAGAGCCACGAAATGACTGCCATGACTAAAGGATTTATCCTATAGTGACCGCCACAGAATACTAAAACTACCAACTTTAAAATAGCGAAGGATGCGAGTGGACAGTTTTCATGTATTTAAGATTATTAACAATATATATTTGATAAGAGAGTCAGCAATGGACTCTTTGTACAAGATAATGTACCAAGAACTCGCGGTCAGTCACAAAAATTAAAGATAAACCATTGTAATTTAGATCTCAGAAAATTCAGTTCAACTTCAGGACAGTAAGAATATGGAACAGCTTCCCACGGTGAGTTATAGACTCAATTACAGTTAAAGGATTCGAGGTCAATCTAGACGAGCACTGGAAAAATACAGATATCATATGGGATCACTTGGCAAGTTATAATCTTTACATTTATGTAAAAATTGAATGTTAATGTACTATATATATATATATATATAAAGGCAGTTATCTTCCTGCGTCCATCTTTTCCCTTTTAAATCTTATAAACCCTATTAAATAAATCCCAAAGGCCAAACGGTAAGAAATTAGGACAGGAATTTCACAGTTTTAACGAAGACATGTTTACACTTAATTAAGTTACTAGTGCCTGTCACAATAACGACTGCCTTTAGATACTATGACGCTGTTCTAAACGGAAGAAAATATTGATTTGGAGTTATCGTTCCTTCTTCCTACTTTCGGTTTCAGTTTTACCACAACCACGGAATTAGATGCTATCTAAGTCCGTGCCACAACAGAAGCTAGCGAAACAAATTGTGTCATCTAATGGAGAACGCATCTGGTAACGTACATTGAATACTTTTATTAGATTAATGACTTTTTACATATTTAACTTATTTATTTTATGCTTATTTATGATTTTTATTAAATTGCACCGGGAAATATATATAAGTAGAAATTGTTTCCTGTTACAAGGTAAATTTTAAGCTAATGGCAATCAAAAGTGTTTTTGCCAACAATTTTATATATGACCAATACAGCAGTACACGGAATTCCAGTCCTCAATCGAACCAACATCCGGATATATTTATATAATGATACATGCCAAATTAACGGGCGACTTGATAGAGGTTTTCAAATTCTAACTGGGAAATTTATGTTTTTTCTGTTGAGAGAGTGAGTGCTCGTCAAGCTGGGGTCTCAATGTAGCAGTGTCATTATTTGATGACATGTATAGATATAATGTATATATATCCAAAGGTGTTTGAAATTCTGACTGTAAATCGAGATAAAAATCATATAAAAAATAAGCTTAAGGGTATTACTACTTTTTTATAGTAATAACCTTATTTGTTTATATGAATTTTATCTCGATTTACAGTCAGAATATCAAACAACTTTGATAAATCTAATGTTTAATTTTTACATATATGTGTGACGTCTGAATTTGCAAGTGTCTGTGATATGTACATGTCCTTGCACTTGCTACATATTTCAATATTGATTGTAAACCTGTTTGACTGGGTTCAAAGGTTAGCTATTTTTAGAAGTTAGCTAGAGGTCAGTGAGTTTGTACAAAGTACAGACACATGGAATAGTCTTTAAGCATATATGTGTACTAATTTTAGAGACATCAACATCTTAAAACCAGAGTAAAAAATGTGTTTTAAAACACGACAGTGTGTAAAGTTATGATGTAATGTGTAGTTGCAATGATCATGGGCGGACAGTTACAGGACTGTACAATCCCATTCAAGAAAGTATAGTATTTGTTCTATTTGTTCAGCTGATGTCCCTGGAGACCTGACATTAGAACATGTTTGTTCTGATCCTGCTATCAGAGAAGCTTTTGCTGTAAGTCTTCAGACACTAATGAAGGTATCAGACAGAGGACTATACATATCTCTGGCTTCAGTAACAGACACTAAGGTATCAGACAGAGGACTATACATATCTCTGGCTTCAGTAACAGACACTAAGGTATCAGACAGAGGACTATACATATCTCTGGCTTCAGTAACAGACACTAAGGTATCAGACAGAGGACTATACATATCTCTGGCTTCAGTAACAGACACTAAGGTATCAGACAGAGGACTATACATATCTCTGGCTTCAGTAACAGACACTAAGGTATCAGACAGAGGACTATACATATCTCTGGCTTCAGTAACAGACACTAAGGTATCAGACAGAGGACTATACATATCTCTGGCTTCAGTAACAGACACTAAGGTATCAGACAGAGGACTATACATATCTCTGGCTTCAGTAACAGACACTAAGGTATCAGACAGAGGACTATACATATCTCTGGCTTCAGTAACAGACACTAAGGTATCAGACAGAGGACTATACATATCTCTGGCTTCAGTAACAGACACTAAGGTATCAGACAGAGGACTATACATATCTCTGGCTTCAGTAACAGACACTAAGGTATCAGACAGAGGACTATACATATCTCTGGCTTCAGTAACAGACACTAAGGTATCAGACAGAGGACTATACATATCTCTGGCTTCAGTAACAGACACTAAGGTATCAGACAGAGGACTATACATATCTCTGGCTTCAGTAACAGACACTAAGGTATCAGACAGAGGACTATACATATCTCTGGCTTCAGTAACAGACACTAAGGTATCAGACAGAGGACTATACATATCTCTGGCTTCAGTAACAGACACTAAGGTATCAGACAGAGGACTATACATATCTCTGGCTTCAGTAACAGACACTAAGGTATCAGACAGAGGACTATACATATCTCTGGCTTCAGTAACAGACACTAAGGTATCAGACAGAGGACTATACATATCTCTGGCTTCAGTAACAGACACTAAGGTATCAGACAGAGGACTATACATATCTCTGGCTTCAGTAACAGACACTAAGGTATCAGACAGAGGACTATACATATCTCTGGCTTCAGTAACAGACACTAAGGTATCAGACAGAGGACTATACATATCTCTGGCTTCAGTAACAGACACTAAGGTATCAGACAGAGGACTATACATATCTCTGGCTTCAGTAACAGACACTAAGGTATCAGACAGAGGACTATACATATCTCTGGCTTCAGTAACAGACACTAAGGTATCAGACAGAGGACTATACATATCTCTGGCTTCAGTAACAGACACTAAGGTATCAGACAGAGGACTATACATATCTCTGGCTTCAGTAACAGACACTAAGGTATCAGACAGAGGACTATACATATCTCTGGCTTCAGTAACAGACACTAAGGTATCAGACAGAGGACTATACATATCTCTGGCTTCAGTAACAGACACTAAGGTATCAGACAGAGGACTATACATATCTCTGGCTTCAGTAACAGACACTAAGGTATCAGACAGAGGACTATACATATCTCTGGCTTCAGTAACAGACACTAAGGTATCAGACAGAGGACTATACATATCTCTGGCTTCAGTAACAGACACTAAGGTATCAGACAGAGGACTATACATATCTCTGGCTTCAGTAACAGACACTAAGGTATCAGACAGAGGACTATACATATCTCTGGCTTCAGTAACAGACACTAAGGTATCAGACAGAGGACTATACATATCTCTGGCTTCAGTAACAGACACTAAGGTATCAGACAGAGGACTATACATATCTCTGGCTTCAGTAACAGACACTAAGGTATCAGACAGAGGACTATACATATCTCTGGCTTCAGTAACAGACACTAAGGTATCAGACAGAGGACTATACATATCTCTGGCTTCAGTAACAGACACTAAGGTATCAGACAGAGGACTATACATATCTCTGGCTTCAGTAACAGACACTAAGGTATCAGACAGAGGACTATACATATCTCTGGCTTCAGTAACAGACACTAAGGTATCAGACAGAGGACTATACATATATCTGGCTTCAGTAACAGACACTAAGGTATCAGACAGAGGACTATAAATATTTCTGGCTTCAGTATATTGTGAACATAGAAACATTTATGAAAAATTTTTGATTTTCCAAATTTTTGTGGATTAAAAAATTAATCACATGCAATCAATATGCAATATTTATTCCAGAATGTCTATAAAGAATCAATTTTGGGGCTATTCCTGAAAATAGATAAACTTGATTATTTTACAACAATCACAAACAAGTTATTCACATATATTAATCACTGTTGTTGCACAGGGGGTTTCTCTATTTGAAGAAACTAGAGAAAATACATTCAGGCAGGTGACCCCATACCTTTTTATGATCGATCAGATATTCAAACCCCAGCCATCTTGGTGAAAGTCAAGTGTGCTAAAAAAATCCAGAAGTTTTGCACTGCAAATCAGGAGAGGCTGGGGCATTTATAATTAAATTTTGTTACAATACAAAACAATTATTATAATGGAGCTTTCTATCACTTCTGTGAAGTGTATATGCAGGAGTGATATGATAGGTAAGACACCAAGAATTTATACTACCCGTTGAAAATTCAATTGTCTTCCAATTTCTTTGTGCAAGCTGTTAGGGGAGGCAGGTCCAATAGGGTTGAAGGGTTTTTGGACCGCTCATCATCATCCTTACCACATTAGGGTTGAGCAAATATGATTGAAGACAGTAATATTGTTTTTACCTCTGACAGGACAGTGAAACCAGTCAAATCTTCAAGGAAATTGAAGAAGATCCGACAAAACTAAAAAGCTACCAGGAAAATCCCAAGGTCCAGAGATCTTTAAGACTAATATACGATCTACTGCAAGAACACCTACCTTGTAATCGTCCATCACAACAGGTAGGACTGTACAAACTTCTATTGTTTATTCTATGCTTTTCAATAGAGGAACATTGTTCTGTAAAATCTTTTCCTGCACAAGAAACTACAAGAATTATCAATGTTCAAGCAAAATTCCAAATCAGTTCAAGAAAAGTTCAAAGCAGTTCTTAATGGTAAATGGCAGAGTTAAAGAACTACCAGAGAATCTCTTCCAACCTTTGGGGTAAGACAGGGAAATATCTACCAACGGGGTAAGATTCTTAAATGTCTAGCCCAAGACTTTGCCAATATCCTGACGTTGTGAAATCTTACCCCGAGGGATGAGATTTTCCGTCTTACTCTCAAGGTTTGAAATGATTATTTTATAGCATGGTTTCCCGGCAAACCCAATGAGGTATCTCTCCTCTCTGGTCTGCTATTGTTGACATGATGTCAATGCATTGTCGTGTGACATTATAAAAGCGTGCTGATTGGGGAATCCCCTCATCTTTACTATATGGTAAGGGAGAAAACTCTTTCCTTCACCAGCAGTGTAGATATCTCTGTCTAATGGGAGAGACAAGCAATTCTTTCATTCCTCTAGATAAAATTGTTCCCATAATTTTCATCAAAGTCAGCATACTATGCAACCATGGCCAGATGATAGAGTTTTATCAGAAATAAAATCAAAACAAATTGTGTAAGTTAAGACCAAATGATCATTATGTTGAATTCTAATATTTGTTAAAATAGTTTAGCTAATCCACACATGTGCTGGAATTAACCGTCCCTCCTCCCTTTTAAATAATTTTCAGGCTTCAGCAAGATTATTTCATAAGTAATAGTTTTCTATGTTGCTTTATTTTGTCAGCCTCTGCAGCTGCCAGGAATAATGCAGTCGATGACACAGCTGGGTCAACAGCCAAATAGTTCCATGGGACCAGCAGAACTACAGGGCCTTCTGGGAATGATCGCTCAATCCCAGGCAAATGGGGGACGGGATCTTTTAGAACAACTGATCCAGCAGGGCTCCGGGGGAGTTTTAGATGGACCAGCAAGTATGAATCCCTTCTCAGCTTATCAACAGCCCTCTTCATGTCTTCAAGCACCAACTGGACACCCACCTCCAAATATTCCCACATTGAGTGGGAGTCCATCTTCAGGTAAACAGATGTCAAAACGAAGGCCACCTATAGCTCTACCAATGACAGGTGAAGAATTTCAGTCTACTCTGCCCTCTAAAAGGAGAGTGTCAAACAAAAACCTGACTCCAAGCGAGGACCAATGTATCTCTGTTCTCCCTCCCAGGAACACATCTGACTCTTAATGGACAAGGCCTTTACAGATTTAATCATTTGTTTGGGCTGCCACATGCATTCAAAAGCAGGTGAGATCTTTAAACAGTGGAGTAGCATTGATATAAAGGGAGATAATCCTGATATAAAGGGAATTGTACTGGTATATAGGGGAAGGTATATAGGGGAACAATGTTATATTGGGGATAAGTGGTATATAGGGGAAGGTATATAGGGGAACAATGTTATATTGGGGATAAGTGGTATATAGGGGAACAATGTTATATGAAGATAAAAGTACTGGTATATAGGGGAACAATGTTATATTAGGGATAACAGTGGTATGTAGGGAAACAATGTTTTATTATAGATAACAGTGGTATATAGCGAAACAATGTTATATTGGGGATAGCAGTGGTATATAGGGAAACGATGTTATATTGGGGATAACATTGATTCCCTAAATACCACTGTTATCCTCAATATAACATTGTCCCCCTATATACCACTGTTATAACATTGTTCCCCTATACACCACTTATCCCCAATATACCCTTGTTCCCCTATATCCCTTCCCCTATATACCAGTACAATTCCCTTTATATCAGGATTATCTCCCTTTATATCAATGCTACTCCACTGTTTAAAGATCTCCACTGTTATCCCCAATATAACGTTGTTTCCCTATATACCACTTATCCCCAATTTAACATTGTTTCCCTATATATCACTGTTATCCCCAATATAGCATTGTTTCCCTATACCACTGTTATCCCTAATATAACATTGTCCCCCTATATACCACTGTTATTTTGGGGATAACAGTGGTATGTAGGGGAACAATGTTATATGAAGATAAAAGTACTGGTATATAGGGGAAGGTATATAGGTGAACAATGTTAATTAGAGATAACAGTGGTATATAGGGGGACAATATAACATTGTTCCCATCTATACCACTTATCCCCAATTTAACATTGATCCCCTATATACCAGTACTTTTATCTTCATATAACATTGTTCCCCTCTATACCACTGTTATCCCCACTATAACATTATTTCCCTATATACCACTCTTATCCCCAATATAACATTGTTTCCCTATATTCCACTGTTATTTTCAATATAACATTGTTCCCCTCTATACCACTGTTATCCCCAAAATAACAGTGGTATATATGGAAACAATGTTATATTGGGGTTAACAGTGGTATATAGGGAAATAATGTTATATTAGGGATAAAGGGGAACAATGTTTTATTGGGGATAACAGTGGTTTATAGGGAAACAATGTTATGGTGGGGATAACAGTGGTATAGAGGGAAACAATGTTATATTAGGGATAAAGGGGAACAATGTTTTATTGGGGATAACAGTGGTATGTAGGGGAACAATGTTATATGAAGATAAAAGTACTGGTATATAGGGGATCAATGTTATATTGGGGATAACAGTGATATATAGGGAAACAATGTTAAATTGGGGATAAGTGGTATAGATGGGAACAATGTTATATTGTCCCCCTATATACCACTGTTATTTTGGGGATAACAGTGGTATGTAGGGGAACAATGTTATATGAAGATAAAAGTACTGGTATATAGGGGATCAATGTTATATTGGGGATAACAGTGGTATATAGGGGAACAATGTTATATTGAAAATAACAGTGGTATATAGGGAAACAATGGTATATTAGAGATAACAGTGGTATAGAGGGGAACAATGTTATAACAGTGGTATATATGGAAACAATGTTATATCGGAGATAACAGTTGTATATAGGGGGACAGTGTTTTATTGGGAAAAACAGTGGTATATAGGGGGACAATGTTCTATTACAGAAAACAGTGGTATATAGATATAGGGGAACAATGATAAATTGGGGATAACAGCGGTATATAGGGGAACGATGTTAAATTGGGGATAACAGTAAGTGGTATATAGGGAATGGTATATAGGGGAAGGTATATAGGGGAACGATGTTAAATTGGGGATGACAGTGGTATATAGGGAAACGATGTTATATTGGGGATAGCAGTGGTATATAGGGCTACAATGTTATATTGGAGAGAACAGGGGTATAGAGGGGAACAATGTTATATTGAAAATAACATTGGTATATAGGGAAACGATGCTATATTGGAGATAACCCCAATTTAACATTGTTCCCCTCTATACCCCTGTTCTCTCCAATATAACATTGTCACCCTATATACAACTGTTATCCCTAATTTAACATTGTTCCCCTGTATACCACTGTTATCCTTATATACCACTGTTATAACATTGTTCCCCTGTATACCACTGTTATCACCAATTTAACATTGTTTCCCTATCTACCACTGTTATTTTCAATATAACATTGTTCCCCTGTATACCACTGTTATCCACAATATAACATTGTTCCCCTCTATACCCCTGTTCTCTCCAATATAACATTGTAACCCTATATACCACTATAACATTGTCCCCTATATACAACTGTTATCCCTAATATAACATTGTTCCCCTCTATACCACTCTTATCCCTAATATAACATTGTCCCCCTATATACCACTGTTTTTCCCAATAAAACACTGTCCCCCTATATACCACTGTTTTCTGTAATAGAACATTGTTCCCCTATATTCCACTGTTATCCCCACTTTAACATTGTTCCCCTCTATACCCCTGTTCTCTCCAATATAACATCGTTCTCCTATATACCACTGTCATCCCCAATTTAACATTGTTTCCCTATCTACCACTGTTATTTTCAATAGAACATTGTTCCCCTATGTTTCCTTATATACCACTGTTAGCTGTAATAGAACATTGTCCCCCTATATACAACTGTTATCTGCAATATAACATTGTTTCACTATATACCACTGTTTTCTGTAATAGAACATTGTCCCCCTATATACAACTGGTATCCCTAATTTAACATTGTTCCCCTGTATACCACTGTTATCACCAATTTAACATTGTTTCCCTATCTACCACTGTTATTTTCAATATAACATTGTTTTCCTATATACCACTGTTTTTCCCAATAAAACACTGTCCCCCTATATACAAATGTTATCCCTAATTTAACATTGTTCCCCTATGTTTCCTTATATACCTCTGTTATCCCCAATATAACGTTGTTTCCCTATATACCAATGTTATTTTCAATATAACATTGTTTCGCTATATACCACTGTTATTATATACCACTGTTATATTGGGGATAACAATGGTATATAAGGAAACAATGTTATATCGGAGATAACAGTTGTATATAGGGTGACAATGTTATATTGGGGTTAACAGTGGTATATAAGGATAACAGTGGTATATAGGGGAACAATGTTCTATTACAGATAACAGTGGTATATAGGGGAACAATGTTAAATTGGGGATAACAGTGGTATATAGGGAAACAATGCTATATTGGGGATAACAGTGGTATATAAGGAAACAATGTTATATTGGAGATAACAGTTGTATATAGGGGACAATGTTATATTAGGGATAACAGTGGTATATAGGGGATCAATGTTAAATTGGGGATAACAGAGGAATATAGGGAAACAATGTTATATTAGGGATAACAGTGGTATATAGGGGGACAATGGGTATATAGGGGAACAATGTTAGATTAGGGATAACAGTGGTATATAGGTGAACAATGTTAAATTAGGGATAACAGTTGTATATAGGGGGACAATGTTATATCAGGGATAAAAATTGTATATAGGGGGACAATGTTATATTGGGGATAAAAATTGTATATAGGGGAACAATGTTAGATTAGGGATAACAGTGGTATATAGGCGAACAATGTTAAATTGGGGATAGCAGTGGTATATAGGGAAACAATAATGTTATATTAGAGATAACAGTGGTATATAGGGGGACAATATTATATTGGAGATAACAGTGGTATATTGGGGAACAATGTTATATTGGAGATAACAGTGGTATAGAGGGGAACAATGTTATATTGTGGATAACAGTGGTATATAGGGTAACAATGTTAAATTGGGGATAGCAGTGGTATATAGGGAAACAATATTATATTAGAGATAACAGTGGTATATATGGAAACAATGCTATATTGGAGATAACAGTGGTATAGATAACAGTGGTATATAGGGAAACACTGCTATATTGGGGATAACAGTGGTATATAGGGAAACAATGTTATATTGGAAATAACAGTTGTATATAGGGGGACAATGTTATATTAGGGATAAAAATTGTATATAGGGGAACAATGTTAAATTGGGGATAACAGTGGTATATAGGGAAACAATGTTATATTGGGGATAACAGTTGTATATAGGGGGACAATGTTATATTAGGGATAACAGTGGTATATAGGGAAACAATGTTATATTAGAGATAACAGTGGTATATATGGAAACAATGCTATATTGGAGATAACAGTGGTATATAGGGGAACAATGTTATATTGGAGATAACAGTGGTATATAGGGGAACAATGTTATATTAGAGATAACAGTGGTATATAAGGAAACACTGTTATATTAGAGATAACAGTGGTAGATAGGGAAACAATGTTATATTGGAGATAACAGTTGTATATAGGGGGATAATGTTATATTAGGGATAACAGTGGTATATAGGAGAACAATGTTAAATTAGGGATAACAGTTGTATATAGGTGAACAATGTTATATTAGAGATAACAGTGGTATATAGGGGAACAATGTTATATTAGGGATAACAGTGGTATATAGGGAAACAATGCTATATTAGGGATAACAGTGGTATATAGGTGAACAATGTTAAATTAGGGATAACAGTTGTATATAGGTGAACAATGTTATATTAGAAATAACAGTGGTATATAAGGGAACAATGTTTTATTGGGGATAACAGTGGTATATAGGGGGACAATGTTATATTGGGGATAACAGTGGTATATAGGGGAACAATGTTAAATTGGGGATAACAGTGGTATATAGGGAAACAATTATATTGGAGATAACTGTGGTATATAGGTGAACAATGTTAAATTAGGGATAACAGTTGTATGTAGGGGGACAATGTTATATTGGGGATAACAGTGGTATATAGGGAAACAATGCTATATTA